ACACACACACACACACACACACACACACAGACACACACACACACACACACACACACATGCACTTACATTGATCATGAGAAATGAGATGGTGGCAGATGTTTAGTTTTGCCCACTTGAGTGTGTCTTTGCAAGTGTTTGCTGTGTACTCTATTGATTATTCACAGCTGAATGATGGATCTGCTCTGAATCTGGTCCTCGTTGCAGGGATGTGATTTTTACAAACCACCTTTCTTTTTTCCTTTGTGTAAAACATGATTAGTAAATTGTGATCAAAGGAGAGTTTGCTGCTGAACTGTGTCTGTAGCAGATAATCCTACATAGTTTTAACAAAGCTAAATTTGTGGAAATATTCTTCCTCAATCAATAACGTTGTCACACTTCCTCTCAAAATAAAAGCAAAATTTCACTGAAGCAACAAAGAACTACAGGCATAAATTAAGCTGATTATAAGTGCACAGAGCCCTGCAGCCCATCAGGCTAATTTCCAGACATTATTGCTGTGTTGTTTTAATTGGTAATAAAATGATAAGTGGATATCACACAGCCTGGAGCAGACACTAAGTTGTGTTTCTCCACAGTACCGCTTGTCCTTGTGTCTATGTGTTTTTTTTATGTATGAAAACTTATCCACAGTTTGAAACTCTTTCATGACTTAAACATTTATGACTTTACAATCATTTCTGAAGAGAACCGAAGGATAACTTGAGAATTATAACACAAATGCAACATTTTTTGTGTGAACAACAAGCAGAATCTCTTTTATATTTCATGTTTTTCTTTTTACAGATGCAGAGCATATTGCTCAGTGGGAGGACAGCAGGTGACCTGGATTTTTCAAAGGGGTGAAATACTGCAGGTGTGATTATTTTAAGATACATGTATGCTGGGACAATAGCCAGCAGTGTTGGTGAATGTTTTGCTTTTGCTAGTACAGTACTGTGCAAATCTCTTTAACTACCATTTTTCCTGGGAGAGCAGGAAATACGTGTGATGCAGTGACTGATTGACATATGCGTAAACATGCATGAAAATAGAGTATGTAAGGCAGAATTTGTTAATGAAAGTCAACATTTGCTGTGAACACCTTAATTCTTCAACAAAGCCTGAACTCTCTTGGGTAGGTTTCCTTGTAATTTCTTTATGTAGTGTTCAGGAATACTTCTTCAGGCTCTTAAAGGACATTTAAAGTTCTTTTTTGGACCTTGGCTGCCTTTTGTTCAGTTCTCTGTCAAGATGATCCCACACTGCTTCAATAATGTTGAGGTCCAGGGGAGGTCCTGGGGAGGATAATGCATGATCGGACAGGACTGAAAATGACTGAAAAAGGCACCAGTGTTCACACACTTTCAGACCTTCAAAAAAACAAACAAAAAAAAACGGAGAGCTTATGCTCAAAACCACTGGCCCCTTTGAAGCAAAATAAAAGAAAATAAGAAATAAGGGGGTGCTTAAGACTTTTGCACAATACTGTACATGGATTCGGTTAGGTTTAGATGTGCTTTAAATAATTTACAAGGATTTTACAATGAAATGGCTTTATGCCACAGCTGGAATGAAAAGTCTCACATGCATCAGTGCACTTTTTAAAATATCTTCTCACCTGTCCTGGAAACTCATGTGTTCAGCCAACATTAAAGCAAATTTGAGTTTGAGTTCTGTTCATCTCGCTTACAAAAATCAGGCATATTTATTTAGGTGGTCGCTTTGATCCAAGCTACAGCATCTCGGTACATTTTGGATCTGCATGGATTGTTTTTAAGCAAACATCAATGATTCTCCAGAGGAAGACCTTCACAGCTTTGGTCATCCCCTAAATTCTAAACATAACCATGAGGTTGACATTTCTTGCCATAGTCTGATTTAATTTAGAGTTTAATTCTTGGTTACTCTTTGTTTCTTTGTTACCTGTTGTATTTTGAAAGGATTTCTTTACTTGTTTGTTTTTGTTGCTCTTACCTCTGTTTGCCGTGTCTTAATTCTTCCCACCTGTGATTAATCGGTCCTGTGTGTGTGCGTGTGTGTGCGTGTGTGTGTGTACGTGTGGGTGTGTGGGTGTGCGTGTGTGTGTGTGTGTGTGTGTGTGTAGTCTTTTCCCCTGCCTGCTTCGGTGAGTCTCTTCTAATTATTTCTCTGGGTGTGTTTTTTAAATTATTTTTATTCTTCATGTTTTTTTTCTTCTTTCTGTTGGATTTTAATGCGACTTCACGCTGTCTGTATCTTGGGCCACTTTGGTGCTAAATGTTAAAAAAACAAATAATAATTTTAAAATGTTGTCACTTTTAGAAAAAATATATAGAGATAGACACAGTTATAATGGTTTCAGATAGTGAATTCAAATGATCTCTTCTAGAGCACCAACATGGGGTACTTATATCCTCATATACGTGGCCAGCTGTGTATGTAAGCACCTGTCAAACTCATCACCATCAGAATGAAGATGTGTAGGAAATATGAGGACCTTTTGGCCATTCAAAGACTTGTTTGAAGTTGAGACTTGCTTTTTACGGTTCAGGTTAAACATGCTCTACCTCAACTTTAGCTTAAAGTACAATGGAAGTTTAGACACTTGAAGGAAAGACAAATGTTTGGGAGAAAGATTGCATTTGGGAAATGAACGGCTTCACAGGCATAACCATGCAAATGAGTGTGTGCGATTTAAATGTGGATCAGGTCAGTGAGCTTTTAATGGTGACTCTAAGGTCTGACATCACGATGGCCTTTGAATTAGCAGAGGAAGATACTGCTGGATGGTAAATAATACACTCAGACGGAAGAATGGGATCAGTGCTGCAATATAACTGGGTCAAATCAACCTGCAGTGAATTCATGCGAATAAGCACACAGGGCTAAATAGTTACAAATGTCCTTAAGCTTTCAATTTCTACTTTATATATTTTATATATTCTCTCTGCAAGTATGCAGCACATCCAGTTTTACATACACATACAGACAATCACAGCCCTAATCCTGCTAGTATACCTGTACCTATAGCTAATGCTCCAACACAGACATTTAAGGGTTAAAGAAGTGTTTAGCTGTAGCGGTTAAAGTTGGTATTTAAAGAGTCATTGTTTCATTGACGACATGAAAAAAGTCCTTGCGTCTGAAAAGATAACATGAATGCAGAGAAATATTCAGCCACATTGTGTGCCATCAGTGAGACGTGCTGTCCAATAAACTTTTTTTTTTTTTTGCTGATGTGTTGGTTTACATCTCTGACAGTCTTTCTAAGCAGAGTGTGAGTCCTGAATGTGCCTGCGTCTGTCTGAGTGTGTGCTCAGTATGTGTGAATCCTTGCCTCATACTCGTTGCTCGCGCAGCTTCCTGCTGGTCTCATGGTGCCCCCTGATAAGCTGGTGCTGCAGAGGGTTTCAGAATGGTGCTAGTGGCAGTGGAATTAGCTTCTATTGTTATGATAATGACAGTGATACTCGTGCCCCTTCCAACTCAGACCAGCCATTGTATGGAAACAGGAATGCAATTTCTCCGGCAGCGGCAACCGACAATCCTCTATGAGAGTGAAAGGTCCCTAAATGACTCTCTATTCAAGCAAGGCTAAGGGGCCAGCAGCCAATTAAAGTGGGAGCAGAAGAACAGTGCCATCCCGAAGACCTGAGGCTCTCTAAACACACACATTAAGCAATACTGAGACACACACATTAGATTCTGTATTTTCTTTTTGACAAAGAACATCTAATCCTCATTTTTTCCTCACAAACCTGAATCTTTCTGGGGTACAGACAGTTTGCACTAAATAACTCAAGAGGTTTATTGAGCACAGTGTGTACACAGACTCAGGAACACGCGTTACTGATTTGAAAGTGCCTCAATATTGAAGTTGGAAAATTGTGGGACAGAGTTCCAGAGCAAAGTGGAGACACTCTCCCAACACCACCCATCACCGTTAAATTGTTCGGCAGTGCTTACGGTATCAGACAGTCTCCTCTGGCAGCTCAGGCTGAGTCACAATGGAGTGCGAAGAGTTTCGAAAGTGTGAGCGGTGAGTTAAGTGCATGTGTGCTGTTGGGATCTATGAGCCTTGAGCTCATCAAAAGCCCGCTGGGCCAGATATATTTCTTTTAATACAATACAACTAATACTGCCCATCACACCTCTGACAATTACTCAAAGAGTCTCCCAGAGAAAACAATGAACTTGAAAGTTTCATTTATTCTACGGCCACCTTTAGCCCCAAACTGTTTCTCTGCTCATTTGAACTGCTACTGCATAAACATCTTGTCCCCATCTAAAGTTATATGTGTTTAGCCATCTGAAAACTTTTTGTAATAACTGTTAATATGAAATCAATCCTCATATACTGCTTATAGTTAATCCAGCCTTATTAATTATTAGGTTTTAAATGCACAGTGCGGTGTCCAAATTTTGCACAGTCCATTGCTTTTGTTGTTAGCGGAGCCCCTGCCAACTTAAACCTTGTGTTACTCATATATTGTCAGTTCTCATATAAAACCTGTGTCTGATCAGATTAGTCAGTCCATAAATATAAGCTCAAGTCTAAACTATCAAACAAGCAGCCTTTGTTTTTGTTTGGGGGTTTTTTTGGGTTTTTTTTGCAGTATTAGATCTGACCTCATAACCAGCTTTAGCTTTACCAAGATTAGTTCAAATGATTTTTATTTGCAGCTGAAAATATTAGCCAATGAAAGGCACTTTTACTGTTGGTGTAAAAAGTGAGTAATTGGAAGAAGCAGCAAATCCCAGGTGTTCAAGAAAACAGCATTTGTCATACAGTATGAGCTTGTAATATGAACTGAATCAGAATTTAAGTCATTATAACTATTCTTAGTAATGTGCTGGTTCTCATTTATGCTGAGGTAGAAAACATCATTTCATTCATTCCTGGATGATAATGTATCCTGACTTTATTAGAGTGTCTCGGGGAAGCTGGAGGCCACTTAGATAAAACAACAGTCTTTAGCAGGAACTTTATTAAAATGCAGCAATTTCATGAAATGTTGGCTCTTTTGCAGCAGAGCAGTAGCATAATCTGCATTTCAAGGTACGTGGTACAAAATATCTTTCCACCACACAATATTTCAAGACCAGGACTTAGATGAAAGCTCTCATACAGCTGTAATCAGTCTGCAATTATCGCTCTTTACATCTCAATGAGGAAATCCAGCTGCACTTTAGTCGATGATGATACAGGCGGAGGAGTAACCATGTATTTTTATGTGAAGAGGCTGATGATACTTAGAGAGAGAATTACGAAGGGGGTTTCTAATCATCTGAACAAATCATAAGAGCTGCACTAAACACTCCCTTCTCGTCTTCACCTGATGAGGGTCTCTGTTTACCAGAAGTTTTCTTTCCTTTTTTTAATGTCCCTTGCATCAGTTTTTGAATCCTGACATCAGCGTTTCTCATATGATACTAAACTGAGAACAAATGCCATGAGAGCATTCGAATTCTATTTAATTATTTGTGCCAGCCATTTGTTCTTCCCTAACTTCTTTCCTAGCTCTGTAAAAATCAAGTGTTAGTTTATATTAAAAACAGACCTATCAGAGTTTCAGATATGAACAGAGTTTAATTTTACATCAAACCAATATTCAGTCCACACCGTAAAAAAGAAATCCTAAAAAAACAGTAATATTCCGGCCGCTGGGGCGCCAAAATAATAACAGAAAATAACAGAAAATAACTTTCTCATAAAAATACGGTTATTTTCAGTAATGACAACACAGTTTGTTGCCCTAATTTTACATGGGATTTTGCCTTTTTCAACTGCTTTTAAACATTAAATTAGGATCATTTAAATGTGATTAATCAATGAAATGACCTATAAACAAGGTCAATGAATGCGGCAATATGAATAATAATACTTAAATGTACAGAAATATACAGTTAACAGTTGGTTTAAATAATAATGGATTACATT